GAGGCCATTAGTAGGGAACATATGTGTTCTGCTATACATGAACCAGCTTTTCCCAGTCTTCTCCAGACTATGTCCATTGGCATCTCCTGTTAGGGGAACCCAGGGTGTGGCCCCATGGTGCTGTTCCACCAATATGTCAGGGTACAGCCTGCCTCCAGACCATTCACTGCGGGAGAAATGCGTCCACTCCATGTTCCTTCCAACTAGCTTGACAAACATCTCAGAATTTCTTTTACCGTTATTCCAAATCACTCTATCAGTAAATGTCAAGTATCTTATCTCCATTTCCCTGAGAGAGGGAATGGGTTGCTGGGAGAAATGCCCAAGTCAGTTGTAAAGCATTTCCAAAGAGAGGGCATCTTTAATGAAAATGATAGGTCTCGTCTTGTTTAACAAGCTTAGAAGGCAGCTCCTGGTGGTGGGAAAATTTACGCTTCTACCAGGACAGCCCCAGAAAAAGACATTGGCATTGGTGTGGAATGGAAGGCAGTCCTGGGAAACTGAGAAGAGTGCGGTGCTCTTTAGTTGACTGAATAGTTTGTCTACACTGTGTCTCCTAGGTGGTGCACCACAGGGGATGGAGATAGTGCAACCATGGAAAAAAAATTTACTTAATCCTTTTTCAGAAAAAAGGCTGACTGTTGAGTGTGAACTGAACGGAGTGGACCAAGTTTGAATTTTGCAGTAACTTAAACCTTGTAAATCTAGACTGAGTTCTGATAATGGAGTCGTACCCTTTGAACCACCATGGTCTGAGAAGTACAACCAAATAGCCACAAGGACCCCAGAGGGCTTTGGCAGTGTGGAGCAATGCAAACCATTTTACTGCCCTGGAGAACACAAATGCCTACAGGAGCACATCAGCCCACAGCAACACTGTGTTTATCCCAATACTCATTCCTTCTGTTTTTCAGTTTTCTCATCAATAAAATGGAAGAGTAAATGAGTGAAGGATGCAAAGTGCTTGAGCAGCACTTGACACCTGCCGGAAAGTCTACACATACCAGAAAATGACAATGAAGGTTGAAGTATTACTGTTAAATTACTATAGGACATAATTTTTATCAGTTATTATACATGAGATTCTCATATAAGAAAATGATCATTTAAAAAGTTAAAAATTGCAAGTCTTGTATTTTGCCATGAATTGTGTTAATTCATGTTAAAAGAATAATAAATCAGAATATTATCTTTCACCTACAAAAGTGGACAAGTATTCAGGCCATGCCTAAGAATTTATGATGATGTTTAAGGCAAGACTATAATTTTAAGACCTTGAGTGTTGCCTTTGTTTAGCAAAAGACTTTGCTGACTGTTTCTGACTGGGTCAAGGGAAGTCCCAGAAAAATTCCTGAAGGACGAAGAGTGAGGACAAGAAAACTGAACTGTTTTGCAAAGCAAGAGGGATTTTTATTTTAGTCCTGTGTTTCTGGTCATACTGGAATGAACATCACAGTGTTCATAGCCTATGTTTGAGGCTATGGGATAGGATAAAAAAGTCCAGTGACAGGAGGGGACTAAGAAACTGGAGTGAGAGGTAAGAGAAAAAGTAAGCTTTCTGTGAATCCTTGAAAATATGGGAAGAAAAGGATAGCCCTCAAACATTATGTGGGATCAGAAGATTCTTTCTATCTTCTATCTACCTATGTATCTATCTATGTATCTATCTATGTATCTATCATCTATCTATCATCTACCTACCTACCTACCTATATATTTATCAGGTAACCTAACCCCAGAGCCATGTAAGACTTTAAGGAGTCACACAAGACTGAAGGACCCCGAGAAGCTCATACTTGGGCTACATTGTGTCTGCTCTTATGTTCTTCCAGGATCACTATTCATGTTTGAAAATTTAACACATATACATTAAAAACCATTGAGAGATTCAGAGCTGAAATTATTGCTCAATTTGTAAGTATTTCTAAACTATAGGCCTAGAAACAAAATTTGGGTAATGCTAAGGCACTTAATGGGGCTTACTCCGAAATATTCCAAAAATGTTTCCCATAGACATAAGAAACTATAACCTAAACCAAAATTTTGACGTGTATATAGCTTCATTGGAACAAGGCAAAAATACTCCTAGGGGCAGCAGGGTGGATGGCCCTGTGTGATGGCCTTGCTTACAGAGTGTCCTTCACTCGGATCAAATGAAAAATAAAAATCTCTTCATAAAACTCCGGATATTCAGGGTCCATGTAAGGAAGCTTCCAGCACTGGTCTGGCCTAAGTGAGTGCCTAACCAACTTACAACTTGTTTAGGTATCCTTTACAATATCGTAGATGTTGAAATTGGAACTGGTGTTTACCTTTTTTTTTTTTTTTTTTTTTTTGGTCAGTACGAATTTTGCTGAAGACTGGGAACTTTCTTATCTTGACCCTCTGGTGGCTCAGGTTGAGAACAATCCTCATAAGACTTCTCCATTTCCACCGTGTCCATACTGGTGTTCATCTTGTTTTCTATTTCTTCCTTTAGATGAGAAATTAAATATTAATTCCCTTTCCCTATGAAAAATTGCTACTTTCTTCTCTCTAGTTATCATCCTCTTAGTAAAACAACCCTGATTTTCATAGCTGGGCACAGTGCCACTCATGTAAAGATACATTTCCCTCGCAACTAAGTATGGCCAGAAAAGTGACTAAGCTGTTGCCAACAAAATGTAAGCTGAAGTACAGTGTGGCATTTTTGGAAAGTCTCTTTTAGGAGGCAAATGCACCATCTCTTTTACATTTTTTCCTTTCTCTTTCTGCTGTTGGAAATATACATATAATGGCAGGTGCTTCTATAGCCATTTGGGGCCACAAAGTATCTTTAATGGCAATCAAGTAAATTAGAGCAACAGGGTTGAAAGATTTGTGATAATAGATAGCATACACCTACTATGTTAGCCTTGGACTACAGTATTAATTATGGTGAAAGTCATTCTTCTTATGAAAAAAAGAGCCTCTCAATATGAAGGTTCAGACAAGTTAAAGATTTATTATCCTTTCACAGGCTAGACGAGCAGGCTGTATGTCTCAAAATCACCCCGGGGCCCAGCCTGGCGGGCTCTCTACCATCCTCAACATGCGGATTCTAGCTTGCTTTAGCCTTTACCGTGTCAAGCCACAGGGAACACACTTCCAATGATGAAAGATACACATCAATTCTTCTCATGTGTTTTGGTGAGAATGTAGCCTCTTGGCCACACCTAAATCTGGGGAGGCTAAGAAATGGAGTTCAGCTGGAATTCAGCTCCTGAGCCCTGCAACAACTTTATTATAACAGAGGTGGGTAGAGTATGTGCTCGTGAACAGAGAGCAGTCTGCTAATCTTCATATTATGTAGTTGATAAAAAAATACCATGCTGTCTCATTCAACCTATACCATCTATAACCTACCTACATCTATCTGTCTCGTTTAACCTACTTCAGATGGGGCTTTTATTGCTCACAGCTGAACATAATCTTAATTGATACACTCCTTTCAGGTTTATTCAATAAATGTCTTATCGATGACTCATAAATTTGGATTGTTAGACATTATCTTCCAGCTGTAAAATTCTAAAAATCATCAAAACTTTTCTTCTCATTGTTCTTAATGAACAACTAACAGGTTAAATAACAAGCAATTTTTTTTCTTTTTTTGTGGTATTATAGCAACTACTTCTAGAGGGCACATTGTGAGCCGTTGTCTGGGGAAGGTGAGGAAAAGGTAAGAGTGGATGAGAGTTAATCTTGTCTGGAGCTGGGAAGAGTAAGTCCTTCAACAATGAAAGATGTTGACAGAAGCCGTCACTAAGATTTCTGACCACAGAGAATAGCAGCAGTTAGAATGTCAGGTTACAGAGTCCTTTATGCTCAACAAAACTTCTTCTTCTCATCCATCCAAGCAAGTCACTCCCACAGGATAAGGAAATTATATTAGTAAGAACACTTTTGTTTGCAAGTGACTGAAAACTTAAGCCAAAATAACTTAAGTAATGTATGACTGATATATCTAGAGATATATTTGTTTTGGAGAAATAGAATTATTTGGAAAAGAGCTTGGTTCTTGGTTCAAAATACATTACCAGATTAATTTCTTGCTTTTACTTATTAGGTCTCTCTCTCTCTCTCTGTCTCTCTCTCTCTCTCTTTCTCCCCCCAACCACACCACCCCCTTTTCTTTTACTTTTAAATATTTTATTTATTTATTTTTTGAGCGAGGGGAAAGAGGGAGAGAAGATGAGAAGCATGGATGTGAGAGAAAAACATTGATCAGTTGCCTCTTGTATGCACCCCAACTGTAGACCAAACCTGCAACCCAGGTGTGTGCCCTGATTGGGTATCAAACTGGTGACCTTTCGCTTTGCAGAATGACACCCAACCAACTGAACCACACCAGTCAGGGCCCACCAGCCCCTTTTCAGCTTTGTAGTTGAACCAGAAGATTCAAGCCCAAGCAACACAAAAGAGAATCTGCTTTCCTAATCAGCAGCCCAAGAATTGAGTCTCATTGTCATAACCGAGCAGACTTGGCTTATACCCCTGACCATGGCCCAAACACTGTGGTGAGGGAAGTGAAACAAGGGTAGTGACTCAACTATGGCCATACACTGCACATCTGGAGATCGGAGTGGAGTCAGCACATCAGCGGCATGTTGGGAAGTCAGAGCACTGTGACCCAGAGAGGGTAGTTAGTTAGTGGAAGAACAACAGATAAAACTTCCATGCGTTCTCAGATGGGAAACCTCAGAGAAAGGGCAAGGTGTCATCTTGTCAATGTACCCGTCCTTAAGTATAAAATCTTTGAGTCATGTGCAGTCCTCTGAGTCACATAAAGATGTTGGTCCTCATGGTCCTTAGACCCATGGCTAACGAGTACGTTGAACTATCCCAGTATGTTCAATGAGCAACAGCAGCTCATCATCCCGTGGCTAGCTAGTAAGTTTAACCATCCCAACACACCCAGTGAGAAATGGTGGAGAAAGGGCAAAGTAACTGTAATCAAAACATTTATTCAAAAAGCGGGGGGGATATTTATCTGGATGAGGGAGACATCATGATCACAAGGTGATTTTCTCAGGGAAAAACTTACTCATTGCACTCTGTGTGTGCTGACTTCTGTGACCTCCCCAAATGTGGGGAACTCCACTGCATAATTTGTGGCAGTGGGGGACTGCATTCATGCTCTCCTTTGGTGAAAAAAAATAAATAAAAATAAAAAGCAGGGGGATGGAAAATAATGCCCACTAAATCCCAGTTAATAGTGTGCATCCTATTCTACAGGAATGAAAAATAATGATACACTGCCTTGGCAGGGAAAACTTTGGTCAGTCAATCTGGTTGACCTTGTCTTTGGGTCTGTTCTCGGAGATCATTACCCATCGTTACTTTTTTTTCATAGCTCTGCTTCTAGTCCGGGGAAGGATCTCCCTTGTGCACTGTCCTTCTCAAGAGTTGGGTTCTGGGGAGGATGTCCTTCAAAGAGCCGTACGTTTTTTGGAGGACACTTCATCTTGGTATCTGTCAGGGACCTGGGGATTATTTTAGGTGTTGACCAGAAACCTTTATTGACCTAGCTCTTTTCCTCACCCAGTTTTACACTCTAGGTTCTAATTTTTACAAAGCACCATTGCAGGAATTAAATTTAATATATATGGTACACTTTACTTGAAAATAGTAAAAAGCTCAATTCAAACTGGCTTAAGAAAAAAGTAGAGTTTAGTGCTGTTGATAACTGAGAAACCCAACTGAGGACATCATTGGCTTCATTCGGGTAGAATTTGTTTACAGACATGCACCAATCTTTATCCATTGACCTACTTCTTCTAGGTCTGTTCTGTTCTCAGATCTTTATGTGGCAGCTTCCAGCAGCTTCACACTTATGTGAGAATTTTACCTAGGAATCCTTGTTACACACACAAAGAACCCAACACACAAACCCACACTTCACATGTGGATGGAAAGTGGAAATTGCTGGGATTTCTTTATATTCCCCATTTGGGAAGAAATTTGAAAGCACCCCACATGAGGTGCTGAGTCATAGAAACGGTGTAGTTTCGCCTAAACCTCACCATCCCAGCAGAGAATGCAGTGCAGGAACAGTATTGTGTACTTTGTATTTTTGGCCTCATTCCCCTGAATACTTCTTGTGCCTGAACCTACTGAGGAATGAACATTTACATCCGGGCAGCAACAACAGTTACTGAGATGACAGTAGCACCTCTCTAACATGCTGTGATTTGACTTATCAGTTTAGCTAGGCTACAGTACCCAGATATCTGTACAAACACTTGTCTGGAAGGCATTTATTTAGAGGAGATTAATATTTAAAGGAGTACACTTGGAGTCAAGCAGATCAACATTATAATGTGGATGAGCCTCATTTAATCAGTTGACCTTAGAAAAAAAAAAAGACTGACATAACCCTAGGAAGAAATCTACCCACACACTGTCTTTGAATACATGCTGTAGCATTAACTCTTCCCTGGGTCTCCAGCTTGCTGGTCTACCATGAAGATTTTTTTTTCACTTGCCAGCCTTCACAATCATGAACCAATTCCTTAAAAATCATCTCTCTCTCTTCACATGCACATGCATGCCCACACACAACGTACTGGTTCTGTTGCTCTAGATAACCCTAACTAACGCACCTGCTAATGTGGAGGTTGCTCTAATGCATGGGGCGGAACCAACTGAGTTGCTGGGTTAGTTACCTCGGATTAGTTTCCTATTGCTGCTGTAACACATCACCATAAATATAGTGGCTTAAAATAGCATACTTTTATCATCACGTACTTTGGGATGTCAGCAGTCTGACACACATGTGTCACTAGGCTAAAATCATGGGGTCAGTAAGGCTGCCCTCTTTCTGGATGTTCTACGAAAAATATCTGTCCATCCTCTTGCCCTTTTCAGCTCTAGAAGTCACCTGAATTCCTTGGCTTGTGGCCACTTCCTCCATCTTCAATGCCTTCAGTGTGGCGTCTTTCGACCTCCTTTGCAGTCTGACTCTCCTGCCTGCCTCTCTTTTCTAAGAACTCTTATGACTATCTTGAGTCCACCTGGATAATCCAGGATTATCTCCCTCAGGAACGTTAATCACATGTGCAAAGGACTCCCTTTACCCTGTAAAATGACGTACTGACAGGTTCCAGAGGTTAGGACATGGACCTTCTTTTTTGGTGGAGGAGGGGATCATTATTTTGCCTGACACAATCCTTTTAAAAAGATTGTCATTTTGTGGTGCATTTAGTAGCCCTTTCACCAAGCACTTACTGAGTGTCTGCTACTCTGATGTTGTAGAAGTTGGTGTTTCTGCAGACAATAAACAAGACAGGTCTGGTTTTCATGCTCATGAGCTTATATCTGATAGTGCCAGACACAAAACTGGTAAGTAAATAAATACATATAATTAGGTAATTACAAATAGTGATAAGAAATATGAAAAAAATAAAATGGACTCATGTCATAACTGGAGGTAGGGTGAGGTAGCTTCTAAGGTCAAGGTTTTTGAGTTGAGACTTGAATTAGGAGAAGCCACCATCCACATGAAGATACATGAGAAGAATAAGCATATTCCAGTCAGCGGAAACAGCCATTGAGTAGGCCTCAGGTAGTGATTAGTGTGATGTGATTGAGAAAAAGGTCATTCTGGAACACAAGGGACACCTGGTACATGATAGTGTCAGATATCTAAGCGGAATGGGTCATGTAGGGCTTTGTGGATCATTGCAAAAATGTTGGGTTTATTAAGGAGATTTAGGAGCCATCATTTTCCCCCATAGGATGTTCCTTGGTACAGAAACATATGACTGCACCAAGGACCTGCTCCTCAGGTAAGCTGCTGATTGCCTTTTTCTTACTAAAATTTGTCAAGAATCTTCCCATGTAGGCCCTATTCCTGGTGGCAATTTTACCCTTTAGAATCCTTCCTACTGCATCAGTAAGATGCCACTGTCAGTCAGTACGACTTCAGAATTTAAACAGCAAAATATTTTGAGCTTACATATAAATATCTGCATTTCCTAAATCGCTTTTCAAATGTGTTTTGCCTATGTGGAAACATCCACAGAATGTTCACAGGAAAAGAAGAAATTAGCAGCACTGTCTCTTAATTCAATGATTTCCCATTAGCTTCTTATCAGTATCCAATAAAAAAAATACCTCCCTGCCTCTCCCCCACCCCAATAGGTTTCTATAAGATCTATTTTAGATTTCTTCACTTCACAACAGGAGAAGGTCTCTGTGTTTCTCAACACACACGAACCTGCAGGAAAAATGCTGAAAGTAAAAGAGAAGCTTGCTTTGGTAATCTTACAGTGTAATTCATCTTGGAAAAACAATGTTTTGACCTTATTTTAAAAATACTACAACAAAAAAGTTTCCTTTACCATATGGACAATTGGGCCAGGAATCAGAAACCTTAGTTAGGCACTAATTTGAGATTCATAGTGAGGAAATAGCATATTAAACACAATGCTTTATGACACTAACGACACAGAAGGGTTGGCTTGATCACTGGTGAATATCTCATTCTAGCTCCAGCTTTACTTCTATTCATAGCTCTATCCATATCTGGTTTCTCCCTTCCTGTCTATTCTCCCCCACTTCATCAATTCATGGTTTATCTTTTCCTTGTTTCTTTTAGCAAAAATAAGAAAATACGTGCACATTGTCTTTCCAAAAAAGGAAGCGTATTACCTTGTACATGTACTTTGGCTCCCTCCCACCTGCCACATATCTTTGGAATAATTCCAGGTTGGTTTCTTTCTCTCTCTTCCACTCCCCCTCCCCTTCCCCTTTTCCTCTAAGTTGTTTCACACTACTTCATTTTATGGTCATACTGTAATGTTTTCAGTCTCATACGAATGACTATCGGGTTGTTTTTACATATTGCTATTACATGCATAGGATGATGCATATATAACCTCGGTTTTGTGTCTGTGGGAGTGCATCTTTAGGCACATTCCTAGAAGTAGGATTGTCACAGTGTGTGCACGTGTAGTTTGGTTAGACATTGCCAAACCCCCTTCTCACTGGACCGTACCGCTTCGCCCTGCCATTAGCGATTTGTGACCACCTGCTTTTCCGACGCCTCTCACACAGGGAGGGTTGTTAGGCTTTTTTCATTTTTGTCTGTATGACAGCTAAGGACTTGGATCACAATACATTTCATTAGCATTTCTTTTGTTATGAGTAAAGTTGAGCACTTTTCTCATATTTAAATATCAGAGGTAAATCTTCATAAAATTGTGCATTTGTGGTTTTACCCACTTTTCTATAAGATTTTTGTATTATCCCCTTTGATAATAAAAAAAATCTTTATGTATTAAGAAAATACATATCTGTGTATCTTTATGTATCTGTGACATTCAGATATTTTTAGTGCCATTTTCTTTAGATTTTTATCAAGGTTTCATTGGCATATAATTTGTTTCTGTTTGGTAACATGAACCACTCTTTCATTGCAACTGGGTTTTGAATCCAAGTTTTAAAAAATTTCCCCACTCCAAGCTTGTAAAAAATTACCCATGTTTTCTGCTAATACTCAAATGATTTCATTTTTACACTTACATTTCAGATTCATTTTGAATTTTTGCTGGCGCACCGTGTGAGTTATGAATCTAATTTTATCTTTTTTCCAAATGGTTGTTCATCTGTCCCAAATTTATAAAATGTCCATGTTTTCCCCAGTGACCTGAGATATTACTTATACAAAATCTTCATATGCACTTGGGCCTGTTTGTAGGCTTTCTACTGTGTTTCATTGGTATATGTATTGATATGCAATTTCACTTTTTTAATCAAGATTTCGTAGCATATTTTAATGTCTAGTGGAGCTGGTTCTCTTATATTTTTCTTCTTTTCCAGAGATTTCCAAGCTATTTTGCATGTTTATTTTCTTCATATAATCTTCAAAAACAATGTCTATTGAACCAGGAAAACCATTTTGTATTGCGATCACACTAAACTTGTATATTAAATTGAAGAAAATTGATCTTTATGATGTTGAATCATCCTAGCCAATAACTAGTGTGTGTTACAGGCCATTGTGTCATCTGTGACTCCTGGGACGTCCACAGTGTCACATCCTCAACAACCCCGCTTGTCTCCTGTACACTCACGCCCATGGCTCCTTTTAGGGAATCAAGCCAGGTCATATTCAGTCATCTTATGTTTAGTCAAGAACAAGTT